AGTGTTGCTATATGTTCAAAAACAAGTCAACGGTTCCTTTAACTTGGTATTATGAGGGTTTATGAAAAATATAGAAGATATATAAAAAATATAGACATTGTTTCTAAAATTACAGGGCAATTAGCTGTGTTTTTATACTGACTAGTCTGACAAAGGGTTTCCTTACCTGTAAGGTAGTAAGTGTGCTGTCACACAAGGTGATGTCCCGGTCCAGATTGCTGACCACAAAACTTTTGTCCTTCAGCGCCCCCTGCTGGACTAACATATCCTGCTGCAGCTGCTCCACCTACCATTTGTGTGTTACATAGAGCATTTTTATTTAGGCAAATCTATCCAGCATCCGAGAACACAGCAATCCCTTTTGTTATAACTTTTATGTACTTGGAAATAGTGTTTTATGAGCCAGAATTTCTTTTTGTGTTTTACAAAGAGCCAGTTTCATACCTGTGTCTCAAGTTTGGTGTTACTTTCTAGAACCAGCCGAACATGGGAACTGAACTCTGTGTTTTCATGAACTTGCACTTTCCCTCTTTTATCCTGGAGGAAAGACAGAGTTCAAAGGCTGAGATCTGCAAGTGCATTACAGCTCCAGGCAAACGGAAACATTCACTGAACTGCCACTTTCACTTGGTTCTGTGTTAAATTATACTGTTTTCTTACTCTGAATGTGCAGCCATAGTTTTTATAAATGCAGTCAGTCTCCACTTCAAGACACTCGTCAGCATGAGCTTGCAGCTGCAATGAGGATCAACAAGCAGCCATGAGCAAATTAAAATATCTGTAGCTGTTCATGGAGCGGTTTAAGGAGCCATGTTGATGGAAAAATATGAGATGGGAGGAAAAATTATCTTTTAATGCTGGCAAAACTTTTGCCTTACCCCGTGAACTGTTAATTAGCTCAGAAATCTTTCACGTTCTTTCCAAACTTTGACAATGCAAAACTGGTGAAGGACATAATATGAGGTGGGAGGAGAAACTAGATTTTAGTGCTTCTGCAAGTTTCTTGGAGGAATGCAATTGTTTTGCAAGCAAACGCATTGAAATATAACTTTTCCATCAGCAGGTAGGGTTTCCCACAGCTTTTAAACTTTAAAATTTCCCATTCGCTTGCACAGCTTTGCGTTCTCTCTCAAAACTGTTGTGCTTTACCTGTAAAAAGGGACATTGTGATGATTAAAAATCAGATGGGAGGAAAAATATTTCAATGCTTTGAGTTCTCGTCTCTCTTTGCACTTCCCCGAGAAATGTTGGGTTTGCTCACAAAACTTTTGTAATGGAAATAATATGAGGTGGGAAGATAAATTAGGCCTATATTTTGCTTTTGCAAGAGAATGCAAAGTTTCATAGGGGAACCGAACGTGATACTTAAACGCATTAAAATATTATTTGCTGTGGCATATTTTTTCCATCATTGTGTCTCCTTAGGTGCTCCATATTAATCTGAAGAAGCAGGACAATGTTCATTAGAACAGAACTTTCTTAAAGTGGAGTGAAGTATCTGACTGTGCCAGACCTTGTGTCTTCTGATCATCTGAGGACACTTGTTGGGACATGGGTCTTGGATTTCAGGGCATGAGGTCTTCTGATGGGCCTGTCGTAGTGTAGAGGCAAGATTAGGAACAAACACAGCTCAGATGACTCTGCTGAGGCAGGGAAGCGCTCTGACCTGCAGGTGAGATGCGAGGAACGGCTGTCTGCAGTGGTGGCAGGACTCCAGCCGGAAGGAGCAGACCTTCCTCTGATGGTCCAGCAGGTTTTTGCGTAACACAGTGTCGTTGCACCCAGAGTTGGAACATCTAAGCCGCTCATACTGGCAAGCTTTCAGATGACCCTGAGAAAGAGAGGTCGTACTGTGAACACTCAGCTCTGAATGATGGAAACAGATGCTTTTTTAATCATTAATGACATGTTTGGCCCTTTACCTGAAGGTTGCATAAAGTAACCCTCTGTGCGCAGTCTGGTGCGTTGGTACAGTAGACCTCTAAGTTTAGCAGTTCTCTTTTACAGCAGTTGTCTTGAAAAATCTGCAAGCATTGGAATTGCTATTCAGTAGAATATAATGGCAAATAAAGCTACACTTCCGATAAGTGCACACAAATATGTATTTAAAATGATAATATTCTCACCTCTTCTGATTTTATAGGGATGCTGTCTAAAGGACATTTCGAACTTCCTCCATTTTCACTAAAAAGAGGAAGGTTTACACATTGCCAAGTAATTTTAGATATATTTGCATGCAATGCACTTTCAGCAGAAAATTGTGTTCATCTTTTCTGATATAAAACAAATTGTTTAATTTATTTAACCAATGAATAGTCCTTACATGTACGCCCTCACGCACCGAGCGCAGAAGATGTGCCCGCAGCCCGTCTGGTGAGGGTTCAGGACCATCCCGCCGCAGGACGGGCAAACGAACTGCTGCTCTAAGCGCAACACGAAGCGCAGCGTGCGATTGGTCAGAATGGCTTCCAGCTCCCATGACCTCATGAGCTCGGAGTCCTGTCGGGACACGCACTCGTTCTCCTCTGCGGCCATGAAGTCTGACACAGAATCTGACATGAGAAAACTGCATCATTTTTATTTATTTTTTTAGCATTTTAACAAGTTGATCTATCAAAATCCTCCAATAACACCTGGAACAAATATTACAAAGAAGCAATAAGGGTTAAATTAAGCATTTATATCATTCTTGTGCTCCAAGTTCAATATATTTTAATACTCGCATTCACAATTTCACATTTTTCTGGCTATTACAAGTTAGGATAGAAATAACCTGGTACTAGGGATGTAACGATTCACTCAACTCACGATTCGATTCACGATTTTATTTTTTACAAAATGAGATTTAAGACAAATTATAAATTAAATGTGTCCTTTTATTATTGCTTGGACAAAATGCTGCACATTTCTTTGTGAAATTGAAATATAACACTATAATAATATACTAATATAGCACTTGCATATTATTGCTCTTTTGTTGGTTTTGATTGCTTCTATTGTCCTCATTTGTAAGTGCTTTGGATAAAAGCGTCTGCTAAATAACAACATTTAAATATAATGTAAATAACAAAACTAAATCTTAAATTTTAAAACAAGCCCCAAATCAAATAAATAATACAAATAAAAGAAATATCTTCATATAAACAAACTAAGGCTTTGTCTGTGCGCTTTCTATTTAAAATTAGAGATTAAAATTAATCATGATCCAAACAAAGATGCTGCACACATGCAACATGAGCAGTTTTTAATCTAAACTGGATTGTATAATTTCGAAATTTGAAGCAAAAACAGAATGGTTTGACTTCAGTGTTGTGAAACTATACATAAAAAATATCTGCATGAAACCGAAACAGCAGACGAGCTGAACGAGACGCAGATTCACTCTCTGCCAGCAGGTGGCGCTTAAAGCGTTTCCTTGGATTCTGCTGCACTTATGAACTTTAATATGCATTATACAGAGGCAAGAGGAAAACATTTTCCATGATTAATTGTTCACTTAAAAAATCATGGTAGCAGGGTTGACATTTAATATCGACAAAACTTATAAACGCCACAAAACATGGAATCAAGTGATAATAAGGAGACTTTTTTATATATATATCATCGCATAGTTCACATCTTCAAAAAGTATTATAGTAAGAGAATATGCGTATATTAAGCTGCAGACACGTCTTCAGTTGATGAGGATGTTAGAGCACGCTCATGCACACTGTTCCTGTCCACAAAACATGGAATCAAGTGATAATAAGGAGACTTTTTTATATATATATCATCGCATAGTTCACATCTTCAAAAAGTATTATAGTAAGAGAATATGCGTATATTAAGCTGCAGACACGTCTTCAGTTGATGAGGATGTTAGAGCACGCTCATGCACACTGTTCCTGTGAGAGAGAGAGAGAGAGAGAGAGAGAGAGAGAGAGAGAGAAAGCAAACACATGGGGAATCCCCAGTGCAAGAGCATGACACTATCAATCTAAACTCAACTCAAGCACTTCACTATCACATGCCTTTATAAAAGTGCGTGCATTCACCACCCGAGCCCAGGTTATCGTCAAAACACTCGGCTACTCAATTAACCATGTATTCCACATTTACACATTTACTTTCGCTTTAAACTATCAGCAGTACAGTCATATAATCCCAGTATTTATTTTAAAATGCATGGGGCTACATACCTGAGGGTTGATGGTTTTAACAGCTCATTGGGACTAATGTGGTTGAGCGTTCAGGTGATATAATCCTAAACCTAGCACTTGACAGCTGCTCGGCTCAGCGCGCAGCACAGACGCACTTAGTACATCACGCTCATTTCGGGCGCGCTGCCACGCGATTAAAGTGAAGGGAAAACGGAACGACCAATCCTAGCACGGCGAAGGCGTGGCTCATGAATATTAATTAGGGAGCGTCACAGGACAGTTCCACGCAACGTCAGCGTGAGCTAATGGAAGCGCACTGCAGGAAGTTAAGCGAAACTAAATCAAATATTCCAGAAATAGAATACACTTCAGAGGCTGAGACACACATTAGTGCTTCTCTAAGCTAAAATAGGAAAGAGCACGTTAAGCAAACACTCGTGTACAAACGCTAGATGAAATGAAAATGAAATTAAGAGTCTGTGTTCAAACGGGTTTTAATATTCGAGCACATGACACTTCACATAAGAACATGCTTCAGGCGCACATTTAGAGACTTCATTATTTTACATGTTAATGCCACCACACTCGGAGCTGCCTACAACCTGCTCTTCAAATATCTAAACAAGGTTGTATATATATATATATATATATAAAAAAAAATCTTACCCATAAAATTAAAAATAAGAAAACTTGCTTAATATCGTCAAAAAATTGTTTTGTACTGTTTGAGACATTAAGCAATTTTCAATATGCAGCCAAACTGCATACAGTAGAAACGGCACTTTTTCTGATGAAAATCATACCAGTACAATAATAATAATAATTTAATAAGTGCCAGGAGCACAGCTATACATGTATGAAAAAATCTAGTTAAGACTTCAAAAAACTTCCAAGGAACTACCCAGAAAATAAGACAAATTATGAATGATGAAAATCATACAGCAGTGAAGTGTTTGCACGGTGACTGTTTGAATGCACAAGAATATTCCAGTATTAATCAGTCTTATTCTGATTATGCAATGCTATCCTAACCAGATTAACATCTCGGTTTATAGAAATCTGAATAAGGCCGTGTACGTCTGTAGTAATCAGCATTTTGAGTCACGTAAACACCGTAACTGATTATCTGCACATCCAAACAAAGGTAATGCTGGATTATACAGCTGTGAGATGCCAACTCTATTAAACATAAAATTATTCTTGGAGCAAAACAACTTTTTAAATTAACATTCTACAAAGAAGAAATATCTTTAAATCGCGTCTCATGACAAATTTATGCTCTTGTGTAATATTAAGAACATCAATGTAAACTTAAATTGCTTAAACAAATGGCAAGAGGGGATCCCCATTATTTCCAGGAGAATAAAGGGGAAAGAACGTAGATTAGTTTATTCTGATAATGCTCATTACATGCACACAGTGATATTCAGAGCTGTGGATTATGTAAACCTCTTTTCAGAATAAAGGTTTAACCAGAATATAGACCTTTAACTGGAAAATGATGTGCACGTAACCATGATCTGATCAACTGATCTCCAATCCACAGCTCAGGATCCAGGCTACATGCTAAACTCTGATGAACAAACAGCACAGCACTAGTGAAGCAGCTCAGGTCAACAGCTTAGTGTCTGGTTGGAAATGAGTATCATGCACACATTTCTGCAAGTTAAACAGGTTTATAAACAAACCCAATTAAATCTGAATTAACAAAAATGATAAAATGGGGTTGAAAATAAGTGTTTTAATCTCAAAAGGGACTGAAGTAGTTTTTGGTATCAATGTCCAGCAAAAAAAAAAAGAAAAAAAAAGTATGACAGTAATAAGCTTTTCATTAGCAATCAAGTATGAGATTATATTTTCTTGTTAAGAGCACTTTGATGGCAAGAGAATTCCGACAGGTGATTTTCTGTCAGTCTGTAGCACCTAATATAAAAATACGAAACTCGTAAAAATGGCACGACACAGTAATCAACCACAAACACAGATGAACAACAGAACGACGAGCGAACCCCATTTACAGAGGTCTGCCCTTACATAATAGATACTAACAAACAACACGAAAAAGCGCTGACTGAGCACAATATTTTAAAGACAATGTTACCACATGATTACAAAATCTAGAATTAAAAAAAATAATAAGTTAAAATAAATAGAAAATTACGCAACTAATATATACAGTTTAAAACAAATACATTTTTTCCTAGTATTCACAATGAGAACTGCTGACTAATTACTTCATCTGCACAGTCAGAAATACGAATCACATCAGTGTAGAGAGTCGTGCTGGATGCCCAGCAGAGCGGGCGCGGCTGAAGCCGTGGGGCGGGGGTTGAGGCCCGGAGGGGGGGGGTTGGAGGGCCGGATGAGCGGCGGAGGCTGGTTCAGGGCAGGACGGGGCTGAAGGAAGCGAGCTTGCTGCTGCAGAGGCGGAGGCTGGCGGTGTAGCGCTGGAGTGGCAGGAAGATATGGGCGCAGAAGAGGTGGAGGCTGGTTGAGAGAGCTGGAGCTGCTGGCTGCTGTGGCTCCAGGAGACGGACCCGAGGCTGGGGTCACCTGACCCTGATCGGGAGAGAAAGGTGAAAATTAGGGTGCTTTCACACCTGTAGATCGATTGCTTTGTTCCGAAACGGGGATTAAAATTATTACAATGTTGCGTTTTATTCTTGGTGCGGTTCGCTTTCACACGGCAACGTTTCTAAACGGACCACATTTGTTAATACAAGTCACACAAGTAAACTGTGGTCTCATTGGTCGAAGTTCCACGGTTTATTTTCAACTGATATTTATATCATTGTATGCAAGTAGTCTGCTATACTGTTAAAAAGATCTCATCGATTTACAACACAAGCTATCAGAATTTCATATTACTTTTTGACGATATCAGGGCTCTACGCTTACTTTTCTTTTTAGGAGCACATTCAAAATTTTAGGAGCACCTTCTAATCAATAATCCAAAATTATATCAAAAAGTAGTCTTCCCATTACGAGGTGATATTTGACTCCTCTAACGTTATTAAAAGTATATAATCTTGTCAAATTCTTAAAAAAAAAAAAAGATATTTTATAAGCTTTTTAAATTTTAATTAAAACGACAGAATAAGAACAAGTAGAATACGAAATATAAGTTACCAATCAAATGAAATCAGTATTAACAAAATTAATTTGTAGAGGTGGCACAAAAGAACACAAAAGTGGCTTGGTGTACTTTCAGACATTTAATGAGGCTCAGAAGTGGAATGAGTGCAATCAAATCCATAAATTCATGATGAGATTAATGTTTTAAATATACAATTTTGAATATAGAAATATTAAATGATTTAAATAACTGAAAAGCGTTACATTTCCGACGAGTGCTTGCGGTGTTCGGCCAATCACAATGCACTGGGTCAGCTGGCCAATCAGAGCAGACTGCGCTTGTCGGGGGGCATAGAGGACCTACAATAATGTACAGTATTTGAAAAATAATGTGTTTTTTGAACATTAAAGCATGTCAACATATTCTGTTACACCAAATACACAAAATAATGATCTTTAAAAAAAGCATCATATGACCTTTAAAAATTAAACAAACTGCCAGCAAATCACTGAATCATTCATTCAATTGATTCGTTCGAACAGCTGATTCATTCAGGAATGAAGCAAGTCTTTATGAATGAGTAATTGAGTAATCATGAATCACTGACTCACCATTCATTCATAAACGAAACACCGCTGTGTTTGAATGGAGATGCGCAGCGGCTGAGCTGTGGCTTTGTTTTAAACTATTTTCCACGACGAAATAGAGCAAAATCAGACAATAGTGTTATAGTCCGACAATGTAAGTCACACTCATCTTAGTTCATCGCATCACATTTATAATCAACAAAGCTCTCTACACTGTGCAATAAATCTCTTATTTACACCCTGTCTACACTTTGCTTATGAAAGGATTCGTGAGATATGTCTGTGATACATTACTCAACGCTGCAAAAACACGTAGAAACCGTTGAAGCTCCCGAGCGCAATCACAAGTATGATGATGATCGGGTCAGTCAGTCAAACATTTTTCAGTTGCACGCAGTAGTTTTCAGTCGCAAATGGTCGCACTGTAGAGCCCTGGATATAAACATCAAAGTGCATATTTTGGATCGGTTTGGACCTCTAAATAAAACAAAGGTTTCTTTCTCTGTATTCTCAGCATATTTATATGAGCTATAAAAGCCTGACATATCAAATATGATACTCATAAAACTATGCAGACTTTTTTTTTTTTTTTTGTCTAAAGGTTCAATAATGTTCCATTTAGAAAAACTAAATAAAATAGAGTCAGATTTTTCTGACTATGATTTCACAGGATCATGAGATATGTCTGTGATACATTACTCAACGCAGCAAAAACACGTAGAAACCTTTGAAGCTCCCCTCAGCAATCACAAATATGATGAAGATCTGGTCAGTCACACTGGCTCCTAAATATTTTTTCATAGTCGCACGCAGTAGTTTTCAGTCGCAAATGGTCGCACTGTAGAGCCCTGGATATAAACATCAAAGTGCATATTTTGGATCGGTTTGGACCTCTAAATAAAACAAAGGTTTCTTTCTCTGTATTCTCAGCATATTTATATGAGCTATAAAAGCCTGACATATCAAATATGATACTCATAAAACTATGCAGACTTTTTTTTTTTTTTTTGTCTAAAGGTTCAATAATGTTCCATTTAGAAAAACTAAATAAAATAGAGTCAGATTTTTCTGACTATGATTTCACAGGATCAAGCCATACCTCTTCCTCTTCCTCATCTGTGCTCTTTCCTGAGGAGCTGTTGCTGTTCTTCCCATCCTCAGCAGAGCTGGCACCGTCTCCGCTGGGAGCTCCCTGCTCCGCCTCCCATTCCTGAAGCACCTCGTCCAAATTAAAGCGCCGCCGATAGTTCACAAAGAAATTCTTCACCTGTCCCAGCGTTTTATTCCCGATCACATCAGCAATAGCCTGGAAGTCCTTCCCGTATTTCCGTACCCCTGGTTAAATGAGGTAAAACATGTTGTGAATTAAATTTAGTATAAGAACAGAGTTGCAGAAGTCATAACATTAACCGTTTGCTTGCCTTGTACTGCCAAAAGCTGCTCATCTGTTGTCCAGCGGGCATTAATTTTTTGGGTGCACTGGAACAAAAACGTAACAGTTGTGAGAATGATGGTAATATACAAACAAACACTAACGCCTCAGATTATAATGCACATGAGCACAAGTGAGTCACCTCAGGCAGTCTGAGTTCATCAATTCCATCTTCAATCTTCTGCTTAAGTCCACTGTTTAACTGCTTGGCATTCTGAACCTAAAGAATATATTATTTATTAAGTGAAACGCTTTAAAATTAGTTGATTTCTGTACTGTCTAGATTATGCATAAAGCATATAATGGTTTACTTCCAAACAGTATTCAGAGGTTGCTCGAATTGAGAAAGTCAATATAAATGAAGGGGAATGTATACGTTTAAAAAAAAATAAGGGCAAGGACAAATATAAAAAAAAAAAGAGATGTGTATCTGTCAAAGGAGCAAAGCTATGGAATAAGTGTGAGAAGAAATTAAAAATGTGTAGTTCAAGTTGTAAACTCAAGAAAATGTTTTAAGACATGGTGGTTAATGGGTATACAACGGAAAACTAATAGATCAAGTTTAATTATTGAATCAATATTTGATAAGTGTTTTTTGTTATGTATGTGGGTCAAAGACGAAAAAGGGTTTGAGCATAAAAACAATAAGTGTAATACTGCTTTAAACTGTTGTTGTTTTTCCCAAAAGAAATTAAAAGGTTTCGGTTTAATTTAATTGCAATTTTGTTTTTCGGAGCAAAAAATAAATATCATACATTTTCCCCTGATTTGCAGAAGACACCCACTAAAATGTCATTCAGTGTAACAATCTTGTCAGGCACATTTGCAACAAAAATCAATTTATGACATTAAAAAACTAATTACTTTCACCCCAGATACTAATTAGTTGTAATTTTACATTTTTAAAATTTGCCACTATCCTAGGTTTTGCCCATTTGTCAGAAATAATTTTTACTAATTTAAAACAATCAAATTTAATATGTTCCCTTATTCATTTACAGTGGGTACGGAAAGTATTCAGACCCCCTTAAATTTTTCACTCTTTGTTATATTGCAGCCATTTGCTAAAATCATTTAAGTAATTTTTTTTTCCTCATTAATGTACACACAGCACCCCATATTGACAGAAAAACACAGAATTGTTGAAATTTTTGCAGATTTATTAAAAAAGAAAAACTGAAATATCACATGGTCCTAAGTATTCAGACCCTTTGCTCAGTATTTAGTAGAAGCACCATTTTGATCTAATACAGCCATGAGTCTTTTTGGGAAAGATGCAACAAGTTTTTCACACCTGGATTTGGGGATCCTCTGGCATTCCTCCTTGCAGATCCTCTCCAGTTCTGTCAGGTTGGATGGTAAACGTTGGTGGACAGCCATTTTTAGGTCTCTCCAGAAATGCTCAATTGGGTTTAAGTCAGGGCTCTGGCTGGGCCATTCAAGAACAGTCACAGAGTTGTTGTGAAGCCACTCCTTCGTTATTTTAGCTGTGTGCTTAGGGTCATTGTCTTGGTGGAAGGTAAACCTTCGGCCCAGTCTGAAGTCCTGAGCACTCTGGAGAAGGTTTTCGTCCAGGATACCCCTGTACTTGGCCGCATTCATCTTTCCCTCAATTGCAACCAGTCGTCCTGTCCCTGCAGCTGAAAAACACCCCCACAGCATGATGCTGCCACCACCATGCTTCACTGTTGGGACTGTATTGGACAGGTGATGAGCAGTGCCTGGTTTTCTCCACACATACTGCTTAGAATTAAGGCCAAAAAGTTCTATCTTGGCCTCATCCGACCAGAGAATCTTATTTCTCACCATCTTGGAGTCCTTCAGGTGTTTTTTCATGTGTCTTGCACTGAGGAGAGGCTTCCGTCGGGCCACTCTGCCATAAATCCCCGACTGGTGGAGGGCTGCAGTGATGGTTGACTTTCTACAACTTTCTCCCATCTCCCGACTGCATCTCTGGAGCTCAGCCACAGTGATCTTTGGGTTCTTCTTTACCTCTCTCACCAAGGCTCTTCTCCCCCGATAGCTCAGTTTGGCCGGACGGCCAGCTCTAGGAAGGGTTCTGGTCGTCCCAAACGTCTTCCATTTAAGGAATGGAGGCCACTGTGCTCTTGGGAACCTTAAGTGCAGCAGAATTTTTTTTTGTAACCTTGGCCAGATCTGTGCTTTGCCACAATTCTGTCTCTGAGCTCTTCAGGCAGTTCCTTTGACCTCGTGATTCTCATTTGCTCTGACATGCACTGTGAGCGGTAATGTCTTATATAGACAGGTGTGTGGCTTTGCTAATCAAGTCCAATCAGTATAATCACACACAGCTGGACTCAAATGAAGGTGTGGAACCATCTCAAGGATGATCAGAAGAAATGGACAGCACCTGAGTTAAATATATGAGTGTCACAGCAAAGGGTCTGAATACTTAGGACCATGTGATATTTCAGTTTTTCTTTTTTAATAAATCTGCAAAAATGTCAACAATTCTGTGTTTTTCTGTCAATATGGGGTGCTGTGTGATTTTAGCAAATGGCTGCAATATAACAGAGTGAAAAATTTAAGGGGGTTTGAATACTTTCCGTACCCACTGTATATATTTTAATATGCACAAGTCAGAATAAGCATGTTGTTTGAATTTTTACATAAATATTGTTACACTGAATGACAACGTAACATTATTTCAACCAAATTTTCACAATTTATTCTCCAAAAACTTATTTGAAACCTTAAAAGTAGACACTTTACTTACATTTAATGTGCTTTCTATGGACATAAAATAACTTTTGTAGATTTCTTTTGATGCGGACATCTTAATGTCTTTGACCTATATATATATATATATATAGAAGAAATGTTACTTTTTTTTTTTTTTTTTAAGAAAAGTGATGTTTAGCTAAATATGTATTAAAGGTAGGCATAATAAGCAAGGGCTTCGCCTAAACCTTTTTCTGTGAATGTGTGTATTTTGGAAATTAAATATTTGTGAGGACCGAAATTAAATTAGTTGAATTGTTAAATTGTTGTTGATAATGTCAGATAAATGTGTGAGGAGGAAAGAAAACATTAAAAATCTTCTTCACAGGCTGTGACTGGCATTCATTGTTTTCAAAATTATTTGTTGGCCATCGTTTGAATCCTCTTGGAGATTCCTGGCATACCTGTCGCTTCAGGGACACCAGCTCCATGTCGAGCTGCCGCAGGACCGAGTTAGCGGCGCTGGAGCTGCAGGAGACGGCCACCACGTCCTCCTGTGTGAGGTACATGCCTCTGGGAGGGCGGCACTTGGCCCGCTGGCTGTGGTGACGGTGCTGCAGGGTCTGGTGCTCTCTGCGTCCCAGTGCAATTTTGGAGCTCAGCGTCTGAGGCTCTGCATGACTCTGTCAGGAGGAAAAACAAATCCCTGCATTGAGACGCTGGAAAAAGATGAAATATAAACACACGGTTCACAGGAACCTGTAAACAGCTTTTACATACTTTTGATTTGAATACGCATTTATTACAAATTCTCATTACCTCCTTCTTCGGCTCTTTGGTGGGGTCATAGTCACGGTCGTGGGCCTCAACAGGGTTGGCTTCTTCCATCTCTTCCTCACTATTATGCCAAAAGCAAAAATAATAAAACAGAAACACTAAACTTGAATCAACTTGTAAGTGAGTTTACAGATTACAAAAGCAGATTACAGATTACAGCTTACAAAAGCGAAGCAAGTGAATGGATAAGTGACCTTTCATCTTGATTACTCCGGTTTGCCAGCTTTCGTGCTTGTCGGTCCATCAGACTCGTCCGGGATCTCGTTTTTTTCCACGAATAGTAGTACTTCACAAGACTGGATATGGATTTGTCCGGCAACTACAATCAATTATCAAATTCAAGAATTAATCAAGTAAAATATGAAATTGTAAATAATGATGGTTGCCCAGTTTTATGAAGTGACGTATCTGATGACTTCAATAGAGTGAATCTCACAAAGAGACTTTTATACCAAAATAAAATGGCATTATTAACAAAAAGGCACATTTTGCAGTAATAATGTTTATTTTTAAAGAAATCAAGACTACAATTATTTGATCAAAAATACAGTAAAACATTATTAAAATTTAAAGAACTGTTTACTATTTAAATCTCTGTTAAACTGTAATTTATTTCTGTGATGAACAGCTGTATTTCCAGCATCATTACTCCAGTCTTCAGCGTCACATGATCTTCAGAAATCATTCTAATATGCTGATTTGATGCTCAGTTATTAATAATGTATTGTACACTAGGGCTGCACGATTAATCGAATGCGATTGTCATGCGCATTTTGTTATTAAAGCCGGTTCTGTAATCAGCAGGAAATCATCATCACGTGCTTTCAGATGGAGCAGCATTTACTACACAGAGCTGTAGTTTACTGACAAGTCACGCAAAAAAAACAAAAAAAACAATTCTGAAATCGAAGAGATCGTTCACGATAGTGACAGCTGTTTGCATAGCTTCTCAGTGAACTACGGCTCTGTGAAGTAAATGCTGCTCCATCTGAAAGCATGTGAAAATACCACATTTAATAACATTTTTACTCCAAACTCACTTCATAACGTCAGTCGAGTGTTTGAAATAAATCCTTCTGTGAGATGATGTGGCTTCTTACACAGAATAAGGCACGCAACATATTTCATAGTATTTAAGCAGTGATAAAGGCATTGCATTATAAATATACTTTATTTTAATGAAAATTATAATAATAAGAACTCCGATAAACCGTATATTGCCGTAGTCGTGTGTTTATTAGTCACGTTGAATCAATGAAAGCAGTTGAATCTTCTGTTTATTCAGCTGCAGTGCAGTGGGTTTCTTCTGCGAGGTGTATTTGGAGTTTCAGCATGAGAGCGCCCTCTGGCCTTTGGATGGAGATTTACTGCCGATCACAGAACCGTGCTTCACTGAAAGATACGCATGTCAATCGCAGCTTCTGTCGAATCGCGATCTCGATTCCATTTCGATTTATCGTGCAGCCCTATTGTACAGTATCATGCTATATCTTATTGGTTTTGGGGCTTAAACCTGGATGCATTTTTTCATGAACAGAAAGAACAGCAAATGTTTAATGATCAAAAAACAGCATTTATTTGAAAGCAGCAGCACAACTGTTTTCAGCATTGATAATAATCAGAAATGTTTCTCGAGCAGTAAATCAGCATATTAGAATGATTTCTGAAGATCATGTGACACTGAAGACTGAAGTAATGATGCAAAAAATACAGATTTGATCACACTTTCAAATACATTTAAATAGAACAGTTGTTTAAAATCTAATGCTTCACAGTATTGCCTCACAGAAATAAACAATATTTAACAATATATAAAAACGGAAAACTGATTTACTTACATTCAAATAATATTTTATAATATTACTATTTCTACTCTATTTCTGAATAGAGTATTAAGAGAATTCTTTCATGAACATTAAAAAAAAATCTTAATTATTTAAGTTTTGTCCAGTGGTGTATATAAGTATACAAATTTAATTTGACATTGTAACAAAGATAATTATGCACATGACCTTAATGCAAAATTAAATTAGATTTTATTCCACTGGTAAGGCTTTTATACATCATGGCAGTATTTGTTGAACGGTCTTGAACGTAAATTAGCATAAAGTAAATGCAATACAAAGAAAAATTATTGTATTACAATAACAAGAACATAATGATAATCGTTTAAAAACACACAAACCTGGATGCAATATATTATATCTCACTTCTCTTCCTGGCTCGGAGATTAAATGTGACCTGGACACATTTATAATGAGATTAACCCTAGTCTTCGCTTGAAGACATGTCACTGTTAGCTCAGTAGCACTAGCAATCACGACTCACCATCTGCTGGATCCGATGGAAGCTCTTCCCATGAAAGCTGAACGCTTGTTCAAACAACACCTTGTCCTCCACCGTCCACTCATCAGGGAAGGGGGTGAAGTTTGGGAGATCAGCAAGGGACTTCTCAATGTTGTGTTTATGCCAGAAGAGCATGCCGAGAGCCTGTGGAGCACAGCGGACATACAAACGTTAGTGATCACTGACAACAAGCTATCTCTGAAGACTGTGCTCTCGTAACTCACCTGCTCAACATTATATCCATGCTTTTCTTTCGCAATTGCAATGTACTCATCCACTAAGGAGAAAAATAATACAGACACAAATAACCTGCATGATGTTGTCTAAAAAAAATTTAAATGACAAAAAAGCTGCTGCAAATACTTACATTTAGAGTCAACTATTGTGTGATATGGAGACCAAACCAACATGCCACCGTTGTCTTTATCGCTGTACTTTGTGGAGCCTACAACATTCCAATACAAAAAGTGTGTATTACATGTGTCAATAAGTTACATGAATATACTGTAATATTATTAACATATTCCTTAAAATGCGTTACAATTCAAATGTGGTACTTTAATTCTACTTTCTAAATGAAAGACCCAAGTAAAGGGACAAATATTTGTTTTCAGCACATTATAAGAGTAATCATTCCCAAACATTCTGGGAACTAAGAAACAACAAAACTACAGGCTAAATAGTCTGAAAATTGTTGTTCCAAAACTGTAAATAAGCAGTAACCTTCTATATAACGTTCAATTCGTAATCTCTGGCCTGTCAACTGCTAATGTGATAGAGTTACGACTTTAGTTTGACCAATTATTATTAGAAAGCTATTCAGTGTTTGAGGGTTAAATCCGATTCCGTTTACAATTCTGCACCATATTGCTAAATACACAAATTAAAAAGTAATTTAAAAGGCATTCTCAATTCAGTCCTGAATAGCACACAAAACTGCTATTTTATCGCCTTTATAAATGAACAAAAACCAACATTAAACTCATTTGTAATCATATGTCAAAGTTACTGGGTTTATTAGCTGATGAGTGGCTAAGCGAGAAAGCTAACAATCTCTCACAAAAAAAGCTTTTGATGAGAACGTAATCATACACTAACATTAAAAACCGATTTAAAATAATAATATTGTCCATTCGACCCCCAAATCCTTGAATGCACGTTTAAAATATTGATTACACACAATCGCGATAAGTGTACCGAGGCTACCACAGTCAGTCAGGTTCTCAAGAGGCGGAATGCTTTTCCATACCTGGATCAAACTCAGGAATATAAACTTGATAATCTGAGCCCACACGCATGCCCACATCTGAAAACAAGAAAAACGGTGTGATGTTTCGAACTTATTAAACAATTTGTATTTCATTCAAATATATACACAACCTCCGCAGGGGTGTTCGAGGCTATACCGTGCTCGTCGTCGCTGCCGCTCTCGTCCGAAAAATGTCCGTTCGAGGCGTTAGACGGGCTTTTCGTCCCATTTGAGCGGCCTTTCCCCAGATATTCCGACCCTTTGTCCATCATTCCCGGCATAATGGCGATTCGATGGATTATTTTGAGCAAAAATTAAATATGTCACCGCTACAGCATTTATTCTCTGTCCAGTGTCTCTGCGCAGCTGCGCCGCTGTGCGCTCCGGTATCCCTCCGCTGCATCGCTCTCGTGTTCCCTTAGCTTCGCCGTCTCTGTCTGCATCGCTAACACCTTGTGTGTGTTTTTATCAACTGTTCACAGTAAATGAGCAATTTTTCATAATTTATTATTTTTTTTTTAATCGATAAACTCAAGTGTCCAGATCTAGTTTTCCTCGCGGAGGGAACTGTTACGCATGTAAACAAAGGTGAAACGCGGCTCTTGTGTGCGCCACTGTTGCATCAGTTCATTTTAAGCGCGTTTTCCTTTTTCCTTTTAAAATGTCAAACTATTCATCTTTTGTGCATTACATTTATTAATAAACGGAGTAGAAAAGTTTTACATCTCGTAATGAATATCAACTATTTTTAATGATTCGCAATTTGTGCTGTTGACTATTCATAAGCGCGTCTATTTTAAATGTGTTTTAAAAACCCTAGTCTTCATGATCTGCAAGCTACACGTAATGTTTATAATAATTACAAAATGATCTATAGTTCTATCTTTGGTTTCAATCAGAAGATGACTAAATTGAGATAATCAGAGTATTATTTCACTCACTCATGAGTATTTGCTGCTCAAATCAGTGGCAGACTTTAGCTGGAAAATATGACTCTGTTATTGTCCTCTTGCATTACTGACAAACTATTTTCCTGTTTGACTCTGTAAAGCTTTGACACAACCAGTATTGTATAAAGCGCTACAAATAAAGGTGACTTGACTAGACTACTATCATGAACACGCAAAATCTCTAGTGATTTAGTACACTATAGAATCATCAAGCCAAACTGTTTTCAAAGTTTGTGGGTTAAATTAAAAGGTACACATAAAACGCACTACCTGGTTTATCTCTGAATATCATCATAATTTTTACAACTCTTCTCCTGACTGCAAGTGGAAAATATTGCTGATTGATAAGGCATGGTGTGGCCGATGCTGAACAAAAGTTAGTAAATTAGTAGATATATGCAAAACAGCTGCAAACAATCACTGGAGATGTAAGAGTCTCTGAGCTGATGGTTTCTAGTAGGCAGACCTCTTCAGCGTCAAACTCTCAAACAGAAATTACTTTCTGTACTCTTATTGGTAGCCTACTGTAGTCACACTGCTTTGATGCTCATTTGTTTGAAGTTCAGCCTTACAACATCTGGTGAACTCATACCTGCAAAAATCTCACAATGAAAAGACGCTTGAGTAACAGAGAGATACTTTGTTCAATTTGTAGTCCTAAAACCTGAAACGGAATTAGCGCTTTGGAGCCATGGCTTACCTCTGAGTCTGAAACATTTCCTCAAATAATTACAAAAAATTATAATAATTATATATATACTGTATATATTTTATTGAAACAAATGTAATTCCACATATACTACTCAAGAACTGTTGCCAAAAAAAACAACAACAACTGCATTTTCACTTGTTGCATGAGGAAATTGTTTACTTATTTCTGATTGAAAAACTACTGAGAAGTTGCTTCCAACCACAATTTCACTCAGAGATTCAATACAGCTAATCTATACAGTAGAGAACAGATTTTTCTATTCTGTGGTATGTGCACAAGTGGCTGTGACTAACTCACATTCAGCGCTCCTGCACATGAGATTGAGTGAAGTGAAAGCCAAAAGATGTGCCCTGCATCAAACGGTCTGTCAAGCTCTGGTGCTTAAAGCAAGAAAACACAATCACCTCAGATTCAAACTAGTTTGGCACAATCTTTTACCACAGGCACGTCATATAAGAAAAGCTCATGGAAGGAAATAACAGGACATTAAGATAGGCTAGATGTAAAGACACAGAAACAGCTTACATTGCGGAAATGATTGGGTTTTGTGACTTGATCAAAGCACTTGATCTGAGGTACAGTATGTGATACTGAACCACAAGCACTTCAATTAAGTTCAGTTGCTGTGATTGTAGCCTATAGAGAAAGCAGAGGGAAAATTCAAAGGTTGGACATTGTGCAGTAGACATCTACAGACTTCCTACTTTCCGAGAGGATCATCAAGTGTGTTACCACTGATAATGCCACAAACAACATCAAAACACTGTAATTAAATCACTGGATGAGGATACAGTGTTTTGCCCATCGTCTTCATTTAACCATTGGTGAGTGTCTAATAAAAATGATAATAAATCTTCATTGTTTTTATCTATCATTTTGTAATACATTTTTAACTATAATATTATTCATTGGTTAACCTTATTAAATCATAATTATAGAGATAAATATTTTAAACATTTTAAAAATATATATGCTACTTGTCTCATGAAGTGTGATTGTCAGCTGTTGATTCAGCATGTTTAAACATATCTCTCTCCCCTTTCAATATAAACAGAGAGATGTGTGCAGTTGGCGCAGCGAGTACCTTCTCAAATACTTGAAAAAGACAGCAAGAACTGGCCATTGCTCAGGAACAGCTATAGGCTTGCAAGATGGGACTCTCTGCAACAAATGATCGAAAGGGTCATAGAGCAGAAGAAAGCTCGAACAGTTCTGCAAGCTGACAAAAAGACCGGACATTTGACTCTAACATGGTAGGACATGGATGTTCTTGAATCTGTGAACAGAGCATTGAGTCCTTGGAGTTCACAGATGCCTTGTCTGGAGAAGAGCATGCGAGCGTTTCATACTTCATCTTTTAAATGAGCAGGTTCTCAATCCACAGGATGATGACATTCAGCTCACCAAGGAGATCAAGATGAGAAACAGGCAGACCAATCCACACAGGAGCTGTTTGACAGGGCTTCCTTCTTGACCCTCACTTTAAAACCATTAACACAGAATGAGTGGACATGAAGGGCAATGTTCATTCATTCATTCATTCATTATTTATTTATAAAGCACATTTAAAAACAACCCAGGGTTGACCAAAGTGCTGTACAGATAATAGAAGTCAAATAAAGATACAAATGATAATATCTCAATATATCTCTTCATGTAAACAAAATAATAATGATAATAAATTAGAAATCCACACTAAGCAAATGTGTTTTAAGTTTTGATTTGAAAGAGGCAAGTGATGACACCATTCGGATCGAAACCGGTAGGCTGTTCCAGAGTTTGGGGCCTACTGTCGCAAAAGCTCGGTCTCCACAATGTTTTAACCTCGATCTACACACAGAGAGCAATCCAAGGCTGCCTGATCTAAGTGACCTAGAAGGATTGTGATAATGTAAAATGTCAGAAAGATACGCTGGTGCTAGGCCATGTAATGCTTTAAAAACAAAAACTAGAATTTTAAAATCTATTCTCAGTTTGACTGGTAGCCAATGCAGAGAAGTTAAGATGGGAGAGATATGATCAAATTTTCGACTGTCAGTCAGCAGCCTGGCTGCAGCATTTTGTACCATTTGAAGATGCCCGATGGATGATTTACACCATAATAAAGTGAACTGCAATAATCAAGGCGTGAAGTAATAAATGCATGGATAACTTTTTCAAAGTTCTTTAAAGAAAGAACAGGTTTGACTTTTGCGAGACGTCGTAAATGATAAAAACAGGATTTAACAACAGAATTAATTTGTTTATCGAACTTGAGACCTGAATCAAACAACACACCTAAATTTTTCGCACATGGAGTAACATGAGAGCTTAAGTCGCCAAGGTCCAGATCACCAAAATCATAGGAATCACTTGGACCAAACAGCATAACTTCGGTTTTATTCTCATTTAAGGCTAAGAAATTCTGTGTAAGCCAAATTTTAACTTCATGTAAACAAGCTAGCAGAACCTCTATGGAACTTGAATCATTATGTTTAAAAGGAAGGTATAATTGGGTGTCATCTGCATATAGGTGGAAAGATACTCCATATTTGGAAAAGATGGAACCCAATGGCAGCAAGTATAAGGAGAACAGTGTTGGAGCCAGAATAGATCCCTGCGGAACACCACAAGAAAGATGTACAACTGAGGAAGAGTGTTTTCCAATACAGACAGAGAACATCCTATTAGTTAAAAAAGACTGGAACCAATTCAAAATGGTACCCTGAATGCCTAAAAGATTTTCCAGTCGGGAGATGAGAATAGAGTGATCGATTTGCACCAGGAATGGAGAGTCTTGAAGCTGAACAAAGAAAGTCTGTTGAGAAGTCTCATTACGACCAGTCGAAGATGCTAGAGAGCAGAACTTCCTAAGAAACAGAAGAAAAGCAGCATCTTCTGAATTGCTTTATGCCAATGGCAAGCTGTCCCTCAATCAGAGAAAGAGAGAGAGTCCATTGAAATGGAGCTTAACAACTATTTGACAGTTTAAGTTGATGGTGAGGTCAAACCTCCTGGAATGATGGAAGCAGCACCAGGTCAATTCTCCATGAGTGTCCAGCCTGGCAAAGAATACATGCGCATCCCTGCTACAAGTGCTATATTCTATATTTTCTGCAGTCATTTATTTTTTTCTGTTACTTAAGTTTAATTTATTTTATTGCTTTGAGAAGATGATGCTAGAGAAAAGTTTATAATATTGGTCTGCTCACACAGACTTTAAGGCCCAATATCAATTCTATTTTATACCCCTTCCCCTTCCCCTACACCTCCCCTTTCCCCTTCCCCTTGTCCCTTGAAACAGAGTGTCAAGGGGTAGGGGTGAAAATATTCCCCTAAGTATTGGGACACCACTACTATACTGTCACACGTCATCATATGTTGTCTAGCTCCTACAATACACACACCTATACTGGTGTGCTGCTGTGCATTAGAGCCTTTAATTACCGTTCTATATTAATGCGCTGCTTACTGACACACACACGCACGCACGCACGCACTCACACACACATCAGATATCGCGCAGCTCACACATCCAGGAGCAAAGAAACTTGTCAACGCTGCCCCATGTCTTTAATTAACAACAGTTTAAATACTGAATCGCTACATTATATTTTCCAGCAACGAGAGGATAAAATCGCTGTTTTTCAAGTAAACTCACTCTAAAAAGAGAAACGCACATACACGCAACTTTTCTCTCTCTCTCTCTCTCTGTCTCTCTCTCTCTCTCTCTCTCTCTCTCGAATTGGCAATATTTGAGAAAATGGTTCTACGGTGGTTATCGCCCTGATCAGACATGAAAATATGTTGTAGCACTATCGTGCAGTCTGTAATGATATGACATTAGCAAACTTTAGCGATTTTTGCAAACATTTCTTTGAGTAACATGACCGTAAATATGAACTCACGATTGAATGTAACATAAAACAAATGATTACTTTTAGTTAAAATCTTTATTAATGCCAAAAATGCTTACATTTATGGGTCTTTTTGTTCGCTCGGGCAGCCATGTTGCCA